AATATATATTATTATATTATTATTATATATTAAATATATATAAAATACTACCCTATTTAATGCATAGGGGTTCTGTCGAATCCAGCAACTGGGTTCCACCAAACTCAGTTGGTGGGTTCCTCAAACCCAAATCTGCTGGGTTCGGTGAACCCAGCTTCACCTTTTTTTTTTGTTATATGTTTGTTTGAAGAGATTTTTAAGTAAATTGCAAGTATAACAGTTCAATAGTGAATTTAGGGTTTCTTTGAGTTGGTTATAATATTTGCTCATCAAGGCTTCTCCTTTTTTATTCCCCTTTTTCGTTTAGTAAGGGATTTGCCTTTTTTTCAATGGGAGTGTAGTGCGGGGTTTGGAAAAAGAATGGATTTTGAGTAGCCAATGCCATATTTGGGTGATTGGAATTCGGAGGATTTTTCGGTGAATTTTTTTGAGAGACCGAAAAAGTTCATCAATGTCTTGGGCAAGTCCGGGAGATATCTACCTCTCTACTTCTCTTGCTAATTTTTAACTCAACTTTAATTACTTAATTAAAATTTTTTAATTAAAAATTATTATAAAACTCAAGAGTTGGTAAAAAAAATAATAAAAAATCTAAACTCTAATATAAAAAATAAAAATAAAAAAACCCGTGCGTTCAAAAACTAGTAAGAGTATAATATCATCGTTTTTGAAACGAATTACAGCCGAGGTATATAAATTTTAATATAAATACCTTTGTTACAACTTAAATTTAATATAATTATCTTTGTTATAACTTAAATTTAAAACTTACAATTAATTTAGAGAAGAAAAGAGATAATAAATTAAGTTTTTCATTTTATAATTTAAACTATATTATATTATAAAATTAAAATTTTTGACTAGGGAAGAAGAACCCAATATTAGATATTTTCTCCAATTTAAGAATTACTTTTTTTTTCTTTTTGTAATGCCTTTCAAAAAAATAATTTTTTAATAATTTTTTATAATATATTTAACCCTTCTTTACTTTAGCGTATAATTCACACCTAGTAGCAAATATTATAGATAATTGATATTTTTTTATTTATAATTTAAAAACTATTAATAGTTAGAGTTCGACTATAAAAAAAAAAATTAAATTACATACTCGCATGTATCTTCCACCGTATTAATCAAGTGAAAGTAACATATAATAAAGACACGGGTAAAATGAACAAATTGGATACAAAAGAAATGAAAACAACAATTTTAAGGCACGTCTAAAACAGTTGGTCTCAAACAGAAACAAATCGTACTATCCTTGTTAATAGTTCAATTTCTTCATTAATTATTTTTTCAATTTTGTTCGTATAATATAATGGAATGATATCTCCACCTTAAAATGAATCAAATTGATGATATTCTTCCACTAAAATTGCAGGGTGTGCCTCCAATCATTTAATATTTGTTTGATTGTTAAGTAATAGTTGATAATTAATTTTTTTAATTATAAAATGAAAAATTTTTAATTAAAAACAGTAAAAATTTAGATGTACTCTAAATATTGAGATTTTATATAAAATTATTTAAATATTTTAAATAAATTTTTATTCATGTTAATTTATTTAAAATATTTTAATTTTTTTATTTTCAATTTTAATATTTTAATAGTTAGAACATAAGAATATTCCTCCACCCCTTTCAATTATATGTAATAATAATAATTGATTTTGACTACTAATTATATCAATGATTTCTTAACAAAGACTTCATTTTTTTTTT